TTGAAAATGATGAAACTGTCCAACTCTAATCAAATCAGAACCAAACAGAAATCGTAGAACGGTGACCAAGTTCAAAACTGCACTAATACCTTTAAAGCCATAAAACATACAATTCAAAGAGACCGTTGGATAGTGTTAGTGGTAAATGCGAGGATAACTGAAATCTTGTACCGGACCGCTCCATTTCTACATTATGCACTCGTAAGCTCTACATATCAAGTGTTTGAGTGCCATCTCTCGTGCCCGATGGGCCACCAGCATCAGCTTGCGAAGCCATTTCTTCCTCCTGCATGATACGTAGACAGGTTCCCTGACCGAATCGGGCATCCATGAGGATCTTCTGGATGTGCATCTTTGCAATAGCTTTCTGAAATATATTTCATATAATGATCGATTTTTAAAAGATCGGCAGGTGACATTCACATCTACACCGTTGTCACTGAATCGCTGATAAAAAAAGGCCATGAAACGATGTGATAGCGAGCACAGCTATTGTAAAATATCTCCGCTGAAAATCTAGCAAACAATTTTAAAAACAAGCTTGTCCTGCTTTGAAACCTGCTTTTGCGCTAGGAATTTGCTACTATGCTAGTACAAGCGGCTATAGAAAAATATCAATATCAAACAGCTACAGAAAACATGCTTTGCCTGAGAAAGCGACTTTTCCGTCTAAAAAACTAACACCCAACTTTGCGATCTTTCCATTTCCATTCTCACTCTACACAGAATCAGAAGAATTACAATAGGTGCTCTAAACTCCCTTCAGCTTCAAATACAAAGTAAACTACCCTACCACAAGAGACCCCGTTTCAAGACTTAGACTCCTACTTTGGTATCCAATTAATGATTTCATAGCATCCAAAGATGTCTCAGAGACGTTTGTTTTCAGCCATTTTGCAGCAAGAAGCATGATTGGAAGCTACCAGTCAAGTCTATGAGTTCTTCTCTCAATGAAATAATATCAAACGAGCCACACGAATGCAAAAAAAAAGCGCAACGTGATACACAAATACCATCAATAACATCAAATCATGAAACTTACCTCATCATCGTTAAGTACACTCAAATTCTGGCTAATGAACTGCTGAAATTGTAGATCAGCATCATACTGGCTTTGAATGTACCCTGGCCCAAGAGATGGTGAATGTTGCTGAGGCGATGATGCCACCAGACGTGTTTGTGGTCGTAATTGGTCACCCATCTGTAGAAAAAATAGCAAATATTCGAAATGTTTCCTCTCCTCGAACACAAAACTTGAACTTACCGCTAGTTGCATGTGGCGAGATTGACTTCCACGTGGGNGGCCCAAGAGATGGTGAATGTTGCTGAGGCGATGATGCCACCAGACGTGTTTGTGGTCGTAATTGGTCACCCATCTGTAGAAAAAAAATAGCAGATATTCGAAATGTCGCCTCTCCTCGAACACAAAACTTGAACTTACCGCTAGTTGCATGTGGCGAGATTGACTTCCACGTGGGACAGCTTGGTGGCCACTAACCATCATTGTACTGAGAGGTGAATCTCCCAGTAAAGGAGAATCAGAATCTAGAAAAGTATTTCTATCCGTATTCAATGAGGAAAACGTAGAGTCAACAAAGAGTCGTTCTTTGAAATTGAAATACACCAAAAAAGCTAGAGGGTAAGAGTGCATGAACCCTATTGTTCTCTGACCCTTCTATGAGGAGCACCAACATGAGAGGCCATAAATTACAAGAAACTAATCCACATGTCGAAGGCTTTGTATATTTTCGCCATTATTCATCCTGGACCGAACAAGCTTAGATCCCAAATTAAGTTTACAATTATTCATCCCTAAACACCAACAATACTGAGTAACGTTTGTTTGCTACGTTCGTGAATACGGGAATTCCGTTAGTCCTATGATCAGAGGATTTATTTCATATGAAATCCTTGAGCTCACCGTGCTGTTCAATAACAACAGTTCGTTCTTCTATTCCATCATCGATGATGATATCGTCTCCGAGCTGACCTCGGGGACCAGTGACACTCGAAGTTCTTGTGGATCCTAACGAAGAAGATTCACCAGCCACAGCTGTATTCTGTCCGGGCTGTTTCTGCATGACAGCTATGCGTTTTCGAGGTGGAGGGTGAACACTTAAAAGCACTTGTGTAGTGGTACACATAAACTCATAAATATAATGATATCGAATTGAGCAGATGATCTCGTTACATCTGCAACATAATGCAGACTAAACCACAAACCCTGAATCCAAATCGGACACGTTAACTAGTCTGTACATCTTCTGTGCACCATTGGAGTAATAAGAACTCGGATCCACCACCATCGTCAGTGTGTCTAAAAGCATCGCACATAAATGAGTGGAATATGGTATAAATAGGAATGAGTAGATTACAAAAAAAGATAAATTTTATTATACCTTAAGGAAGGGGCAGTAATAGTAGAAAAAGGTAGCAAAATCGAAAAAAACCAGAACTCTATGATAACCTTTTTTAACGTTTCCGACCATTCCGGCGCTGCCACTGGCAGTTACAGTCACTCCTTCTTGAGGAACTTTTTGAACAAACTGAGAAGATGAAGAAGTCGGTGCGTGAACCTGGAACTGACCGAAGTAAGCTTGAAGCAGCTGCTCCAAACAAAAGTGGACCGAACTCTAGTCACCCATAAAATGAACAACTTTAACGATTCTTAAAATGAGAAAATACAGATCGATTTTCCAAACGTACAATATGGACGCGTTGTGGCCGTGAAGCACTTGTTGACGATCCCGTTGCAGCTTTTTGTGATTGACTAAAAAAGGCATATGAATTGTAACATTTTATAGGCAACATTAGAAAATTTTATGCCTTACTTGGATGTTGTCCCACTTCGATTCGCATTTTCACCTCCACCAGGAGCTGTGCTCACTAAACGAATGGTTGTTTGACCTCCAGTAGGGCTTGCCTGTCGAAGCAAAATGTAACCTGAAATGCAACAAATTGCCAATGACGACAACTCCGTGGTTCTTTCTAATGCTTCAAAAAATTCCTATCCCAGTTGTTTCAGACAATTTCCTATTCTATAAAGACTCAGAAAAAATTCACCTCCACCGTGCGACTCATTCTGCGATAGCCGTTGTGCTGTAGTGCTTTGTGAGGGCTGTTGGTATCTAAAATAGCAACAAAATAGAAATGTCATGTTTATTGGCTGCACTGAGCGCTCACCCTGAGATCATCACATCATGGTTCACTTCGTTAAAGTACACATCCTGCGCATTGGACGGCGACAAAGATATGTGAGATTGAGTTGAAAGCGCTGATAATTAAAGCAATGATATGTCGGATAAATGCATTTCACAGAAAAAAATTACTCACGTGCTTCTGCTTCTTCGAAAATGTATTCATCTATCCACTGCATAGATTCGGACAGGAAGTCTGTCGCACACAATCGGTCAGAGCCATCCTGAAAGGATTGTGTTTATGGAAATGCTGTGGGCTTTAGTTGTGAGTCTTAGTTGTTTTAGGATCCTTCGCTTTGATGAACCCCCCTTGGTCTGTTCCCCCGGGGTTCCGGACGAATTCGTTCGTAACGGACTGAGTTGTCAGCATGCCTCAGTTCTTCTGTATCTTTGCGTTCTGGATCAAGGACCAGGATCTTGCGGGGGGACCCCTTATCTGCTTGACAGGTGATAACAACCTTATCGACCTCACAATGTAATGTCCAAGCTCCTCTCCTTTTTAATGACATATCGACATGCTAACCTATCCGCTTTTCCCATTTATGTCTAAACGTGATCCCCCTTTATCTTGTTTTCGTTGTTATTCACTTCTATTTTTCTTTCTTTACAAGCCGAATGAGGCCATAGTTTCTAGATACTTCTTTTTGTGTCCTTACTGGGCACACCCTTGAGGTGTATGTGAATAAATAAATAAATAAATAAATGCAGCTGATTTTAACTGCAATGTAATGATTCATGCTGCTCAATGACAGTCTCACTGTCATTGAGCAGCATGAATCATTACATTTGTATGATATTATGAACAAGATGGAATAAAACAAAAGTAACAGGTTGATAGACGAGTGAAGAGACAACCTAACTCAAGAGATCTGCTGTGTCATCGCAGAAGAAAACAAAATTGCCGCAGTGCCCATGCAATTTCATACAAAAACATTCCCAAGAGATATCAGCAGTTACACAGATACAAAGATAAAAATGATACAAATACACTCACCTCTGCACGTTCCGTTTTCTTCTGAACATATAGATCACGAAGACGATCCCACTCGTCTATGAGTAAGCTCAAATCGGCTGAAAAGTTCAAAATCGTCACCATATTGAACTATAACTTGTACATTCCATTACAAATGACTGAATTTTAAACCAAAGAGAAGAAAGAGAATAAGTCAAACGTACACTGCCAATGCAATTCTTCGGCAATCTGATCCCAAACTCTCAAGCGATATTTGGTGTTCTCAGGCTTGTCTCGATAGTATTCGTTTAATGGGTCATACAGGCAAGGATTCTCCCGGACTGCATTGATCAAACGAAGCTTAAATATAATGTTACTATGGCCACTTGCAAGGAATGTAAAATTGTACGCTCAACAGAATGCAAATTCACCTGGAAATCCTCGTCTGTTACATCACGCGGTTGTGACTCAGAAGCCGTAGTGTTCAATGCCAGTTCTTCGTCGATCGATGAATCAATGGTGGGGAATGTTTTCTCTCCTCGTTCGAAATCACCAGACGACACGACTCTAGCTAAACTTTGGTCAAAGCAATCTTTCAGCAATTTCATATACCGCAACAAAGCGAAAGAGTGTTGTTAATAACAAAAGGTTCTAGTAAAATTACAAATGCCCCGTACCTGTTCTTGAAGGGACATTCTTCAGCTCGGTTAGCTGATATTCCCCGCTCCGTGGTGTCGACGTCTGATTGGGAGGTTGTGCAGTTGCGGGCTGAGATCTCCTAGGAGGAGCACTTGCAACCTCCATACTGAAAAGGTGGTTAAACACGTGACATAGTCTACGTAGAATAGAGGAAATGCTTTGTTATAAACGGAATAGATATGAACTGATGAACAATACAAACAACCATTTGCGGTTTCTGAAGCAAGCGTGGTGTTTGCAGGCGCCGTTCTAGGAGCTTCTGTAAAGCAAACTCACGGCTCTGAAGGCGTTGGGAGGCATTGGAACGTAGCCGGGAGACTTTGACCCTCAGCCTGAGGGGTTTCAGGTTGGCTTCGAAATGCGGTCCTTCGCGCTGTTTCACGTTTACGCCGCGCAACCGCTCCAGAACCGCGTCGCAGTGCTTCAGAAACCGCAACGACACGCTCGCGACACGACGACCGCGTCGCCGTACCGCCACGCACAAATGACGCCGTCGACGGCGCTCGAGGGGTCGGTCGATGACCGCGTTCGTGTCGGGACCATGCATCGCTCGCCGGCTCTCCTCCCTTTATGGCAGCGTGCTGGTGTTGGACGTGGGTCTTGATCAATGCCACATATTCAGGGGACGAGCATCAGAAAGGGGAGCTGGAGGAGCTGCTAGAGCTACCCTTGACATGATTTGCAATCGATTCCTTCACAAAATAAAATTCTGGAGTTCTAAAACACTTAATGGTTACTGTAAGTTTTCTACCTTCTGCGTTAACTTACTGTTTGCTCTTGAAAGTCCGCTTCATTCACACAATATCGTCAATTCAGGCATGCATGAACAGCATTTCTTAGGTGTCGTTGTGCCGTTGACCAAAAAGGAATGGTGTCTGACGTTGTTTGTTTGTAAACAAAACTTCGAGGGCCTATCTGGAGCATTTGCATCACATACTCAATGGTTTTTGCGGGTTGTTAAGGTTCAATTTCAGAAAAAAGCCTATCGTGAAGTTTATGCAGAAAACAAAAACAATTGGAAGTAAACAAAAACATTTTGTTCAATACAGTTGTGTATCGCTACTATTCAGCTATGTCATGTCGGTCTACAGTATCTCATAGAAGGTTCTCGAATCCCTGAAATTCCTAGAACGAAAATCCATCAGTTTATGGTACATTGAGGAGAGGAGACTTGAGAGCTTTTATTGTTGAAATGGATAAAACTCTCAATGGCTTTCATGATATTATCCTTCCTTTCAATTCCTGTTGCACTTCTTCCAGATTTCGTGCTCCGGAAAGAGGTCCTACGAAACTGAATTTCAGCAACCGTCGTCCATTATATCCCCTACCCTACACATTATGCCGTCGCTGTCAAGCTTGCCCCCGATCTGTGTAGGCCTTCTGTCGAGAATTCGTCGATTCTTCGCCGCAAGACTGACCTGACCCAGCGGGAGATCCGTCTGTTCCCCGAATTGCTTCAGTGGCAGATGGTCGACCACCTCTCAGTACGGATCGTTCATGTCTTGGATCAGTCATGCGATGTAAGGCTTGGGAGGGCTTGCCACTCTCTTCGATAGTGCAATTATAAATTATTTTATTTTGCAAGAATGTTTGGGGTTATTGTTTTTGTTATTATCGAATTGAAAACTATAAATATAAAAAGCTGACCAATGCTCCTCTCTGTAGGCACTATCGCGTCCTAGAAAACACGGAAATGGTTTTCGACAGCAGACGCGAGAGTTCATAGGATACACAGAATTGAATTGACCCCTTTCAATAGAGCCGATTCAGTTTTTTTAATAAAAAATACAAAATACTTTATTTGTTAGCGAAACAAGATCACTTGGCGGACTGAAGCCACTGTTGAAGCGTCGTGGCGATGGTTTTTCGAGCTTCAGTCATCGCTGGTGAATCATTCGGGGTTGAGGGATACATATCAGCACAATGAGCTGCTCCTGAAAGTAGAAGTTCAGTAAAAGTGGGTCCAAGTTGCCTGCATGGCTTAGTCTCGCCGGCTTTAATCACTTACCATCGATTACAACAGGGACTATGGTAGAAATTGTGCTGTTCAGTTTACCAAGTGCATGCCATGGATCGATATTACCATTTGGGAGGATGATGTAGGAGGACTGAATGTATTCATTAAAGGGCCCATTGGATGACAACATGGAAATCCTGGGTGTTCGGGGTACTCACTTTCATATTCCTTCCTCCGTAATAATCGTTAATGTGGGCGACATGTGCCGCTATTGTAGCTGAGTTTAAGTCTGACCCAAAGATATGGGTACATTCGTCAATTGAGTGCCTGAGGAAGGGAGGGTCAGTTGAAAAGGTTAAACATTGAAGGATTTTTGACTCTGAACAAACTCTACAAACTTTCTAATTTACTTAATCTGCCTAAGAGTACCTCTACAACATTAAATTGAAGCTGAATGCATGGCGCATCAGGTAAGAAATCAATAATTCGAACTCGAACCATTTTCTTAGTAGTGTTTCTTCATGAACTTCACAATTTCTCCTCTTGGCTTCATTCTATTCCTGGAGGTTTGTACAGAACTGTTCATATAGCGGAAGGGGACTTACTGTACTGGCAGTGCTGACTTTCCACCAAAGAATGGCCCGGCAGTATCTGAGTCTGTAGATTGGAAGTAGCCGAATTCCGTGCAACATTGCCACGTCCACGCACGATCTGTAAAAGAACTGCAATTTTGATGGAATCCATAGGGGTTTTTGGGAGCTTCTGCCCGAAAATTTTACGACTTCAAGTTAGATTTCCCTGAAGCTTCCATAGGCACTGGAGACTACTCAGCTGTATGTGCATGATATACTGGAAGGTTTGACGACATCGCAATTTGACCAGATGAAGATTCATCTTCTACTTATTATTCCGGGCTGTGAAGCGGTGGAAAAAGATGAGCTTAAAGGCGTGGTTCAGGATAAAAATCGTTTCTGAGTTCTCCTCCTAGGAAAACCCAGCGGCCCCCAAGTGTAACAGGATGAACGCTGTAGGGTTCAGAAACTTAACAGCTAGGGCATAATGGAACCGTCGTCACCAGATTGTACGGACTTCCCGCCCTTCGATCCATGTCACGTCAGAGGGGTGTCGAGGCGATACAGATTGCAATATTCGCGGCAGGACCCACCCATCCAGCATGCAATAAGCTGATCGCCGAGTATTGTGGCAATGTTTTTCCCCTTTTCTATTATTCTCTGTTATTCTTTTTGTTGCTGTGATCCTTTATTTAAGTTTATACCTCACGAGGCTGAAAAAGGTGGGCTATTTTTGCTGTTACTGCCGGATTCAAACTCGTAAAGGAGTGCGTGTTGAATATGGATAGACAGTTCGATGACTACACAGTTAAATAAACAAGGAAGCGGTAGCGGAATATGTTAGGCGTATATGCGTGGGTAGTGCCCTTATGTAGAAACCCCATGAAAACTCCCCAAGAATCCCGGTGCTTCCGCACAATCTCAGATAACGACTACGCAAGGGAATTATGAGATAAATTAGCAAAATCCAGGCCTCTTTTACTTACAATCTTGTGCTTGTCCATATCTGGTGTCCTGTAAGTATTTTACAAGATTCCAGTAGTCGACATACATACAGCCGTTGCTACCCATCATTTGGTGGACATAATTATTTACCTAAAGATAATGACTTAAAGATGAAGGGCATGAAATGACAGTGATCACCTCACTTACCTCTCGTAGTTTCGTTAGCGAGTTGTCCTGAGTTTCATGGAAACGACAAATTGCATTTTTGATTGTCAGTTCGTTGGCATACAAACCCTTAAATCGGAGAATCTCTGTGAGATTCAAGATAATCACTGTTCGATGAAAGAAACAAATTATACAAAGTTATATGAAAGGATTGCGATTTCTAGCCGTTCACCAATACCGTCCTTGAGGTGCGCCCCGCATTCTACTTCTACTCAGATTCGTAGCGACCGTTTGAATGCGCGTGTGGCCTATCCAATCAGTTGTGGTGGTCAGGTGATGTACAAGCCAGCGCTTTTATCCTCCAAGGTACCGATTGACCAACCCGGTAGGGATGAAAGGCCTGGTTTGCCCAGGCGGATATCGATCCAGGATTGAACTACGCACTACGCAGCTGTGACGCACGCCGCCTGCCACTAAACCACCGCCATGCTTATAAACCAGATAGGGAACTTGGGGTTTTTACACATCTCTAAGACTTTGATTTGTAAAAAAAAGAACTATAGAACTCCGCTACCTCAAGTATCAAAGTGAGTGGAACGATGAAATAGGGGCGGTCTTGTACTGCCCCGTCTGTTACCTGTCCGATTACCTCTTCCGAAAGTGCACCTAATTGCCCCTGATTCTCGTTATGAGTAACTGAACCTGGGAGAATTTTTCTGGGAGGTTTGAGTAATCCAAAGCGAAATCCCTAGCGATTTCCAGAAAACGAAAATTTGAAGTAGAGCACACAACAATTCGACTACGACTATCAGTACGACTTACCAACGCATTTGCTTGATTGCTGTGGTGCACCATGAGAGCAGTCAATGAATAAATGAACAATTGTTGTTTACCAGTTCAAAAACTTACAGCATTGTCTCCTGAGTATTGCACGACGTACATGTAAGGACTGTAGACGTTCTGCCAAAAATACTCAATCTGATTAACATCTGCCGGGTTCAGATCTTGGCAGAGGCTGAATAGGCGGAGCAGTTGCTACAGGGTAGATTCTTTAGAAGATAAGGTAATACCTACTTGAAAGTGGTTTTCAGACTTTGCCTGCCAGAAGCCGTCTGGAGCAGCGAAGCGACTTGGTTCATCGCTGTGGTCACCGACTGGGCACATTGAGGTGACTCGCGCGTAATCGCGTTTTCTACCACCACCAGATACTCTAAAAATGAAG